GGTGATAACTTCCTGCTTCTCAAGAGGCACGTTTCTGTACTAGGTACTAGCATCGATAATGTGTACAGGGTGCTTTTGCCATAAAACTGGCTATGACTTGATCCAAGGGTTTTAACAATTGGGGCTGTGAAGTCTGGCCATACATCACTGTGACAGACTGTGGGCTTCTTCAAGGGTGAAGAGATAACAATTCATAACCACAGTGTAACTTACCATTCACTTAAAAAGAAAAGAATAAAAGTAAACCTGGCAGCTATAGAATACACTATGTGCATTTATAATAGCTATTTTATATATTGTATGGCAGCATTTTTAAATTAAATGTTTTCCATCCACAAAAAAAGATACTACAAGAAAAGAAGAGTGTACTAATTACTCTCAAAAGTCCTTAACAAAATATCAGCAAATCAAATCCTAAAATAATGGGAAAATACATTAGTCACACGTTTATTTCAACTATGTCTATTAGCATTCAAAAAATAATCACCACCTTATTTAAACATAATCTGCAACACTGGTACTCTAATCATGAAAAATAATACGATTATCTTAAGAAATTCAGAAAAAGCATTTCAATACTCATACATATTATAACAAATATTTATAGCAAACGGTATGGAAACAAGTATCCGAAAGTTGATGATGATTGAATTTTCAGAAAACACTATAAAGAATAAACACACTGATCAATTCAACAGAATAGAGCTTGGAAAGAGACCCAAAGCATAATTAATCATCAAAATGTGATATAACAAATAAGATACTGTAATACAGTAGGGAGTGGAGGACCATTTCAAAAACTGGCTACAGGTGAAATAGAAAACCATAGGTGGGGGAAAATATAAAATTCATATATAAAAATCCATTTCAAGTGGGTTACAGATACAAATATGAAAGATAAAGCAATATGGCTATCAATAGTAGTCATGAATTTTTAAATGAAAGATGAAAGTTATGAACTATATTAGAAGAACATGATTACCTCAAACTAGAACTAAGAACATTTTTTAATCTAATGATTCATTGAGAGCCTGTGCATGTGTCTTTGTATATATCCAACACTTATACTGACTCAGAATGTGTAAACATCAATAAGAATAAGACAATCTCATAAAATATCACTTTAAAAGAGGATATCCAAATGGCATCATATTTCCAAACCTCAAAACCTACTACAAAGTCATAACACTCAAAGCAGCCTGGTACTGGAACAATGAGAGGAACATAGGTCATAGAACAGAATTTAGAACCCCAAAGTAAAGTCATCTACTTTGAATGGATGATGTTGGCAAAGGACCAAAGTGTATTATGTAGGGGAAGAGATAGCCTCTTTCAAACAAATGGTGGTTGCAAAACAGGATATTCATTTGTAGAAAAATAAAATACTATCCATATTTTATACTATATACACGAACTAGTTCAAGATGAATCAATGACCCAAATATAAAATATAAAACTATAAAAATCATTAAAGGAAAACATAGGGGCAAATGTTTTAATATATGACATAAATACATGATTGAGCATGCTAAAACATACAAAAAGCAGAAGACAAACTAGCTGTCTGGGAGCTCCTAAAAATTAAACACTTATGCACATTAAAAATTTCCATTAAAAGAACAAAAAGGGAACCACCCACTTTGGGAATGACATATCCGGAAAAGATCTAATCTCTCAAATTTAAAGAAAACTTCAACACCTTCAGCATGAAAAGACAAATGATTCAATTTTTTTTAAATAGACTGAGAAGAGGAGCAAGCACTTCACCACAGAACATATTTATGTGGCCAATAAACACATAAAGAAGTACTCAGAATTATTATTTGCTAAACCCATATCCATTGTAATTTAATTAATCCCAACTCATCCTATATGACAGAGTAGAACTGCTCTCAAAATTGACAAGGTTGTTCAAATTAAGAGTCAACTTCCTCATGTTCCTCCATGGGACAGCTCAGAAGGTATGCAGACACAGAAGGAAAGAATCCATGGATGTGGGAAATTCAGGAAGGAAGTGGGATTAGCACATTTACATTGTGGAGTATTTTCATCACAGGCATGAAAAAAAATGTGTGTAAATTGTTGATTAGGAAACTAATTTTCTCTATAAACGCTCACATATACAACAATAAAAGTAAACAACAACAACAAAATGATTTGTTGTTTATCAGAATTTTTTTAAAAGTATTGTTTAACTAACAAAGGAACATCTCACAAGCTAATGGTCTGATAACGACAGCATCGCATAGCAATACTTGTGTGCAGCTAAGGCAGTGTTTATAAGAAGATGCATAGCCTTGAGAGCTTACAGTCAGTGCTACAGGTTATTGTGTTAGTCTGGGTACTTTAGAGAAACAAATCCACAGAAGCTCATGTAAAAGAGAAAGTTTTATATAAAGGTTAAGTGTGTATCAAGAAAACATCCCAACCCAGTGCTGCCCAAGCCCACAAGTCTAACATTAACCCATTAACCCATATGTCCGACACCAATCCACAAAGTCCTCCTCCATCTCACAGAACACATGCAATGATGCTGACTGCAGGAGGAAAGCCAAATCAGTGAACATGTAAGCATCTCAGCGCTGGCAGGGGTCTCCACATGGCTGCTCCAACACCCAGGGCTGCATCAGGGTAGGTCCATGTGGCTTCTCCTCAGGAATGTCTTGCAGGAAGTGAGCCTTGCCAGCTGAAGCAGGGACCTGGCTAAGGCAGCTGCACCCTGGTCTGACCATCAGAAAGCAAGAGACCCGAGAACTAGAAAGGCAAGGCTCACCGAGCCATTTATCCCTCCGCCCTTCAATTAACCCCACATGTGTTTATCGGCCAGGTTGGCACAATTAACTAACTACCTCAGTTATTATCTTCTAATTTCAAAAAAGAACGAAGTAAGTCCAAAAATAATTAAAGAAAATAATTTTAAAACAGTGGAAACAAATTTATATGTGTCGGCAACAAGAAGAAAAAGTGGTTGGATTTTAGGAACTCACAAAAAACTCCTAGCAAAAATAAAAGAAAAAAACCCAGAACAAATAAAAACAAAATTAGTACCAGAAATGAAAGAAGGGACTCCACCAAAGGTGATAAGAAGCTAACGAGATGATTAAGAGGTGCCATGAACGAGTGGACCCTGGACTCATAATAACCCCAAGTATGTAATAGTAGAACAGTGCTTCCCGGGTATTTTAATGGTTAATTTTCCAGAAATAAATTGTCAGGCCTTTATTCTGACACACTTCTGGGTGCAATTAAACCTCCAGCCTCTCAGTTATCGGTCAAGCATATCAGTTTATATGGTCCATTCTAAGAATGCACACATTCACTGCTCTCAAGTGAATTCCAACTCATAGCTATCTTATAAGACAGACTAGAACTGCTCTACTGGGATTCCATGTTCGTAAATCTTTTTTTTTTTAATCATTTTCTTAGGGGCTCATACAACTCTTATCACAATCCATACATACATCAATTGTATAAAGCACATTTGTACATTCATTGCCCTCATCATTCTCAAAACATTTGCTCTCCACTTAAGCCCCTCGCATCAGGTCCTCATTTTTTCCCCTCCCTCCCCACTCCCCCCTCCTTCATGAGCCCTTGATAATTTATAAATTATTATTTTGTCATATCTTGTCCTGTCCGACATCTCCCTTCACCCAATTTTCTGTTGGCCATCCCCCAGGGAGGAGGTCACATGTAGATGCTTGTAATCGATTCCCCCTTTCCAACCCACCCTCCCTCTACCCTCCCAGTATCGCCACTCACACCACTGGTCCTGAAGGGATTATCCGCCCTGGATTCCCTGGTTTGTAAATCTTTATTGGAGGAGACAACCTCACTTTCCTGTCACAGAGAAGCTCATGGGTTTGAACCACTGACTCATTGTGCCACCTGAGTTCCTTAAGGATACCATGGTGCTAATAAATTTGATACTTTACATTAAGTGTATAAATACTCAAAAATACAAAGGCCACATGGATACATATATGTTTATTACAAAAGGAAAGAAAGAAAAATTACATACTACCAGAATTCAAATAAGAAGAAAATAAAATATTTAATGGCCTTCCATCTATTATGGCATGGGATTTACAATCCAAGACCCTTGCTTTGATTGGCACGCACAGGAAGCTGACTAATGGAGTGCTGGAGGTTTGCTACAAAGTGCTCTTGGAGTCAACATCTGTGGAATTCAAAGAAACAAAACAGGGTTGGGAATAGGGAGACATAAAACTGTGCTTTGCATGTGAGGAAGTCTTAGTTAACCAAGCAGAGTTCTTAATGTCAACTGCAGTGTTTCACGTGGGCTGAAGTTTTATTCCTTCATTCAGTCCCTTCCTGAAAGCTGTTAGAGAATGTGGTTTGAGTAAAGCAATCCTTGAGAGGAGGGGTGCTAAGAATTATCTGCTGGCAGCATTCTCAGCAGCTGAGATAGTAAGTCCTTCATTCCTGAAGGAGAATCCAGGCACAATGCACAGAGCCCACTAAGACATTTCCATGGCCAGGTTACTTGACCCTTGTTGCTGTTAGTTGGTATGAGTAACCTTTTCAAAAAGATTTCAATAACAATAGAATTCTTGGTTTCTGAAAATAAGGCCACTTTAATGATAGTTGCATTCCAGTGTACCGGACTCACTATCACAAAGAGGCAAGGGAAGAGAATTGATGGTAATCACGTGGTAAAGTTATGCCAAATAACTACTGTATAATTTTAAAAGTTGTCCCTCACTTTCATACAGATCATATTGTCAAAGATTTCATATCTAGTTGAAAACGCATATAAGATATAATAAAATGAAGCCTTGCCCAGTGCTATAACATCCTCACGATCTTCCAACAAAGTTCATCTCCATGCTTCTTCTTTAGTTTGTTATTCTAGAAGTTAAATCAGGTCTAGGGATACTCCCATGGATATTGTTCCTGTCCTATTCTTGCTGTTTTAGTAAAGGTCATTTGGTTCATTCCCGGGCTGCATGTAAACAGAGAGAGCCCTTGAAATCATTTGTACTGACAAGCATTCTCCTTTTGTTCCAGCCCACACCAGTTTGCCCTTCACTGTTTGGTAAATAATTTCAAATTTTCTATTTGGAGATCTGGGATTAGATTTTTTAAAGGAAGTATGCATTTTATGCTTGATTGATCTCCTAGTTTTGAGATGATTATACCAAACAGAAAGGAAAATAATGATCTTCTCTGTTTCCATTTCTGAAGGTACTCAACAGTGAAAACTGCCAAAATTGGGGGAGGAACACCATGTGTTTACAAAATGGCAATGCCAGGGTATATATAACTGAGCAAGGGCGTGGTAGTTCAGTGGTAGAATTCTCCCTTTCCTTGAGAGAAATTTGGCTTCCATTCCTGACCAATGAATCTCATGAGCAGTAACCACCAGTCAGCGGAGGCTCACATGTCTTATGATGTAGAACAGGTTTTAAAGGAGCTTCCAAACTAATACATACTAAGAAGAAATATCTGATGACAAATGTTTGATGAAATATCTGATTTCACAAATAAGCCCTTGAAACCTTGTGCACTACAGCAGTCAGTACCAGGTAGCATTTCCTTACATTGTGTATAGATTTGCTTAGTGGGTTAGGACTTGGTCTGTTAACCATAAGGTCATCAGTTTGAGTCCACCAGCTGTTCCATTGGAAAAAGGAAGATGTCCAGCCTTAAAAGTTCACAGGGCCAGTTATGGTGACCAATTCTGATTCCTGATGACCCTATTAGATAGAGTGTAAGTCTGGGCCCAACCCAACAACAACAATATGATTGCACAGTGTGTTCTCAACTAGACGAAATCTTTGACAATATGATCTGTATGAAAGTAAGAGACAACTTTTAAAATTATACAGTAGTTATTTGGCATAAACTTACCAAGTGATTACCATCAATCCTCTTCCCTTGCCTCTTTGTGGTAGTGAGTCCGGTACACTGGGATGCAACTATCATTAAAGTGGCCTTATTTTCAGAAACCAAGAATTCTATTGTTATTGAAATCTTTTTGAAAGATTTATTGAGAGTTTAGATTATATATATATATATGGAAAAAACTTGAAATCATTGTGGTAGGTAAGTTTCCATGCCGCACATGTTCATTCATTTCCTCCATTACGTTGTAATAACTAACCTATAGCTTCTAGACATACAATGCTATTCAATGGAAAAATGAAAAGATAATGGCCACATAAAAGTATTTTAATGAAGAAATAAAATATAAAAAGGTATTCTGGCTTGAAAAGCAGTATTGTACTTCTTTAATTCATCCTATATTAATATAATTTATCATACAGTTCCTGAGTGGTACAAACAGATAATACATTTGGTTGCTAACTTTCTGGAAATTTAGGACTATCCAGATGGCATAGTGGTAATGCATTGGCCTGCTAACCCAAGGTCAGCAGTTCAAAATTACCAGCCACTCTATGGGAGAAAGACATGAATTTCTACTCCAGTAAAAAAAAAAAAAGAAGAATTATAGAACTCAGAAAGCTACAGGAACATTGTCATATAAGGTGGCCATGTATCAGAATTGACTTGATGGCAGAGAGTTTGATTTTGGGTTAGAGGCACCTCTGAAGGAAAGCATGACAATCAACTTCCAGAAAATAAGACATTAAAAAATCTTCTTATTTTTTTTATTTTTATTTTTTTTCTTATTTTTTTTCCCAATCATTTTATTAGGGGCTCATACAACTCTTATCACAATCCATACATACATCAATTGTGTAAAGCGCATTTGTACATTAATTGCCCTCATCATTTTCAAAACATTTCCTCTCCACTTAAGCCTCTGGCATTAGGTCCTCATTTTTCCCCTCCCTCCCCGCTGCCCCCTCCCTCATGAGCCCTTGATAATTTATAAATTATTATTTTGTCATATCTTGCCCTGTCCGACGTCTCCCTTCACCCACTTTTCTGTTGTCTGTCCCCCAGAGAGGAGGTCACATATAATTCCTTGTAATCAGTTCCCTCTTTCCAACCCACTCTCCCTCTACCCTCCCAGTATCGCCACTCACACCATTGGTCCTGTAGGGCTCATCCGCCCTGGATTCCCTGGATTTCCAGTTCCTATCTGTACCAGTGTACATCCTCTGGTCTAGCCAAACTTGCAAGGTAGAATTCGTATCATGATAGTGGGAGTGGGGAAGAAACATTTAGGAACTAGGGGAAAGTTGTATTTTTCATCGTTGATACATTGCACCCTGACTGGCTCGTCTCCTCCCCGAGACCTCTCTGCAAGAGGATCTCCAGTGGCCTACTAATGGGCATTGGGTCTCCACTCTGCACTCCCCCCATCATTCACTATGGTAAGATTTTTTGTTCTGATGACGCCTTATACCTGATCCCTTCGACACCTCGTGATTGCATAGGCTGGTGTGCTTCTTCCATGTGGGCTTTGTTGCTTCTGAGCTTGATGGCCGCTTGATTACCTTCAAGCCTTTAAGACCCCAGATGCTATACTTTTTGATAGCCGGGCAACATCAGCTTTCTTCACCACATTTGCTTAAAGATATTAAAAAATCATATAAAATAGTTTTATTTTGATATAGAGAGTTGCCATGGATCAGAATCAGCTGAACAGGAACTGCTATGTGTTTGTGGCATACACTGATAATCACAATTATTTTAATTTTCATAGACATTGAGAAGGATCAATTACCTATGGCAATGCATAATATTTTTTCTGGAAAATATTGTAATGCTTTTTCTTTCTGCCCTTAGTAGTTGTGTACAGCATTTATTGTTAATGAGATAACCCACTGTCCCAAAGGTCTTCTCAGACATGACTTATTTCATCATTGCTGTTTGGGGGAAATTATCTACTTATCTCTCACGTGGATGTTGTTTTTCTGCAGAATAATATACGTAGGGGGATTATCTTTAGATGCCCCACAGCTGGGAGAATGAACAGTACGGGAAACCTCCTGCCATAATCAAGCTGGAGCCCAACAACAAGCTGGGCAAACGGCAGAAGTAGTGAAGAACTTCATTCTCAGCCTCAGTTGGTCACAAAGACAAGGAGAGGTTTCATATCCACTCAGTTTTACAGGGTAAGGGGTGGCAGAGGGGGAATTGTGTCATTTTGCATTATTTCATAGGATAAGCAAATACAAACAAAAATTTTGCATAACAGCTTTTGTGTTTTGCACCAATTTTTATTCTTTCAAAGTTTGAGAAATATATAAGTAAATGTAAATTGTTTAAAGGTAGATTTTTAAAAACTAGATAGCTAATGAAATGTAGATCTAAAATAAAAAAGATTATTCATTTTCATTTTCAATTTCTACCAAACTCGTGAAGTCATTTCAAGATACATCTATTATGAACTTAAGATAACTGGTTCCTTCTGATAACTGGTCCCTTCTGCACCTCGTGGTCAGTCAGGCTAGGGTGCTTCTTCCATGTGGGCTTTGATGCTTTGATATATGAGGCCTCTATATGAAAGAAAAGTATATAAGTTTAAATGGTTATGAAACATTTAACAGGTAAAACATAAACAAGTAATTTTGAATATGTGTGATGTGGCATGTGACTGTAGGAACATAGAGTTGAAATGGAGGGAAAACAGATAAAATTGTAAATTCGTAAATATAAAAGAATGGGTCAAAAGAAACCCAATGCTTAGTTATGTGTGAAATTAATAATGGCATCAGAGCAGTAAAGGAAATCAGTAAGAAAGAAAGAAAGAAAGGAGATCAGATACCTGAGCAGAAACATTTGTAGATGGACACAGGGGGGTGGAAGGAGGATAGGAAATGTGCACTGGAGAGAATGCTAGTGAAAAGCACACCAAAAAAGAAGTATTTACAAAGTCCGAGGACAGCTCCACTGCAGGAGGGATCGGCCCGCTACAGAGAAGTCAAGGAAGGAGGTAACTTAGAACTGACAATGGTTTAGCAACTAGGAACATGTATGTCGTTAACAGGAAAAAAAATGTTCTTGCCAAACTTTCTTTTAACAAACACAACTTGCTTATTGAATATTCTTCTGTACTAATCCTGAGGAGAGTCACTAGTTAATCAACAACAAATAAACTTCCTTCCCCCAAAAGGTTTAACTTTTT